ACTTAATAATACGTTGAAAAATATGGGTTTTCAACGATGCATGCAAGAAAATGTGGTTTATAGAAAGATTTCAAATGGAGAATATATATAATTGTTGCGGTTGATGTAGATGATTTATTCGTGATGGGAACAAGTCTTGAGTTCATAAACCAATTCAAGAAATTGATGGCGTACAATTTGAAATGTCGGACCTTATTGAACTAACTTGCTACTTAAGTATTGAAGTATTGCAAGAAAACGGTTGTGAAAAGGTAAAGCAAGAGAGTTATGTCATGAAAATTCTGAAAGAAACTGTTATGGAATATTGTAATTTTATTCAATGTCCTATGGAGTCGGGACTAAAGTTGTCAAAAGCTGAAGATGAGCTTGAAGTTGAAGCTACCCATTATCGGAAACTAGTAAGTTGCTTACGATATCTCTTACACACACGTCCCGATTTAGCATATTCGGTTGGAGTAGTTAGTCGTTATATGCAAAGTCCAAGAGAATCTCATGCACGTGATTTTAAGCAAATTCTTCGTTACTTGCGTGGTACAACATCTTTTGGGATAATATACAAACAAAGTAAAGATTTGAGCTTGCTAGGTTACAGTGATAGTAGTCACAATGTTGATGTTGATGATGGTAGAAGTACAGCAGGACATGTTTTCTACCTTGGTGACGCACCTATCACTTGGTGCTCCCAGAATTAAGATATAATAGCTTTGTCCTTGTGTGAAGCTGAGTTCATGGCAGCCACTGCAGCTGTGTGTCAGGCAGTTTGGTTAAGGGAGTTGTTAGCTGAGCTGACAGGAAAGAAGAAACAGAAGGTGATGATTTGTATTGACAAAAAATCAACAATTGCATTGTCCAAGAATCCTGTCTTTCATGGAAGAAGCAAACACATCCACACTCGATTCCACTTCATTTGAGAGTGTGTTGAAAACGAGCAAGTGACAGTTGAACATGTTTCGGGAGACAAGCAACGTGCGGATCCACTTACGAAGGCCTTAGCTCGGATAAGGTTCGCATAGATGAGAAGATTGCTTGGCGTGCAAGAATTACCCTCGACTCAGAAATTCATGGGGTGATTGTTGGTGAATTATCCGAGAACAGAAGTGGCTAATGACGTGTTCTGGTCCAGATTATGGATTACTTGGAGTGTTGTCCAAGTCTTGAAATATCATCCAAGGATTCCTAGTATTTCCTTGAGCAATAAGGAATGCATTATAAGGAAAGTTTATTGATTACCATTAGGTTTCCTAGATATATTCTCATGTGTTTTGATCAGTATATATACAAATTTTCATTAGGTTCCTATAATCAATTGTATTGGAGTTTTGAGCTAGTTTCTTCAATAATAAAAGTATGCGAGTTTATGCAACATACTATTCTGTTTTCCTGTTAAGTTTTTTCTGCTTTTATACCGTTGCATGTTAACATAAAGTCATAAAGAAGGTTTGTTTAAACTCTTATGCTATATAAATGATCTTTAAATCTAAATCTAATAAATTAGTAAAATATATTAAATCGTGTGAAATTTTATAATAATGACATTATTTTTACTTTTTTGTATTTTTCTTATAATTTACGTGTTATTCCGAAGTTGAAGTTTGTAAGATTCAAACATAAGACTACTTTGGTTTGAAATGTTTAAATCTCAAAGTAATAATAATTAAACCATTGTAAGCAAAATATACAATATATAGGAACCCACATATGACATAGCCAATAACTAATTATCTCATGACGGGACAGCAGTTAAATATTTACTTAATGCAAAATAATTCATGGTTTTATCAGTTTATACAACATTTCATCAAGCAATTACAGAACCTGTACTATCACATCCCTACCTGTTAAAATGACATTAGTAAAATACTGTATCGTTTGTATATCTACCATCACATGATGCATCTTAGTACGTACGTTCATTTAAATAATAAATATCGTTATGATATTGATTTTGTGGCTTAAATTTTCTAGTGGACCTGAATTGCAGCTAAACTCTTGGCTCAAATTGGAGAGAAAAATTTGGTCCTGAGTTGAGTCACTCAAAGGCAAAGGGTCGGGTTTGGGTCTATTAATTGTCATAGTCTCACAGATAGATTGTTAAAGTTTGACAAAACATGTATTTACTTTGGAACAAGTGGTGCTTGTACGGATTTGTTCTTAACGTTCTTTTTGAAGTTCATAATGAATATCTTTCTATTTTTGCCCGATGACATGACATACACATCTTTAGTGAATCTCAATAATTGTTTGTGTCGGTTTGGTATTTTTGTTCTCTTGGTGTGATTTGTTATTTGAGCTCGACAAAACATGTCTTGAATTTACTTGTTCATTTCTTGAACTAAACTTATTTCTTAAACACATTTAATTACACACACTTTAACATTGCCATGCCTATGGAGATAGGAGGCTGTGGAACTATTGTGTGTGTGTGTAATGTTTATAGACGGTTCTTTGTGAGTATGTCGTTAATGCTATGCCCTTAGAATAAAGGAACCTGGAAAATATTTACATATAATGAAGATATATAAAATAAATTTTTTTAGATGACATATCTACTTTTCACTCTTATCTATTATCCAAGAGTGTTGTCGCACATAATAATCTTTTTTTTACTTGTATATCATTAATTGTTTTACTGAAAATATCTAGTAAGATATAAAAAGTTACAAGTCTGATAATAAGAGAGATATCAAAGTTATTTGGAATATAAGTTGTCTTCTTATTTTGTATTTTATTTGACTGATTTTATTTGTTACTATATTTTCACCAAAAAGAAAGTATTATGTGTTGTTATGAGAAAGAAGATAAGAACGAAATCCGCAATGACACTTGTCGAATACGTATAAAGAATCATATGATATAAAAGCATTTATTTAGATAACAATTGTTGGGAGGTTTTAACTTTTATGTTGCTAGTGCCGACAATTATTTCGTTAATCACTGTTTACTTTTTCACATGACATGTTTAGCCATTTACGACGCCCAAATACATCGCAATATGTATTTAGATTTTTTTTTTACAATATATAATGATTATGTCTTTCAGCTCTTTAATTCGGTTTAAATTGTTGCAAATCGAATTACCTTTATAATTTGTAAAGGCAAACAAAATTTGCGTTTTCATTTGAATATGAATATGTGGTCAAACGGATAAGACCAAAGTCAGCACTTTGATTCGGTTTAAATTACGTTATCCGTTGCAACCAATATATATATGGCACGTAATATTGTTGTAATATATACATATGGTATCATTAATTATATCATAGTGTTTTGATAACATATACTCTCATCTTTCTTGCTGAACATTTATTTAAAAAATTCATATTGTCATAAAGTAATAGAATGAAATTTTATCCAAAACATGATAGAGTTAGAGTACGTGTAAGACTTGTCCAGTGTCCATTGTAATGTAAACAAGCATCATAAACCATAAATCGACATTATAAACCAGTTGTACATTTGTACTTGTACAAAATCCTTAAACAATGCTTCTATATGCCTATGCCTATTAAGATTCCTCTGCATGAATATTAATAACTTGTTTCAGGGAACAACGAACCAAGTAAAAGACGCTTGTAAGTTGTAAGCTGTAAGGGGAATGGCTATGAAAAACATGGATACAAACAAGAGACAAATGTTTCTAATATATTTATTTGTCTAGTAGTCGTAGACATGTCAAATGTGATGTGAAATTTCTTATTTTGTAATTACATTGCGGGCCTTTCATTTTATCATTACAATTCACACACACACTCCTAACCCTGAGTCCCAAGTTCTATGACACCTGATTTAATCCTAATTTTTAATCAACAGTATAACAAATTTTGTTGGCCATGTTATTACTTCACTTTCCAAATAAATTATAACCAATGTTCTAAAAACTGGTTTTTTAGTTGAACCGGACTAATGATCGATTCCAGTTCAACTGGTCACTAACAGTGGTGTGCATTGGCCTTCAAGTTCGATCAATCTATTCAATTTGCTTTGAAAATTGGTTGTTTACTACTACTATTCAAGACCAATAAACCAGCTCAAACAATTTTTTACTGGTTCTTTCACACCAGGTTTTGAAGAAACCGTTCGGTTCGGTTCAATCCGGTTTAGAAATTGACATAACCAACATAATAATTCGTATTCTTATAAAACTATGAGCATCAAAGAGCCTTACTAAGGTTGAACTTGGTTTTTTTTGAGTTTAAGAGGAAGGAGATTGATGCTTTTTTTTATTGTTATTGTTTTGTGAAGAAGATGATGATGAATAAGGAAATAAAGATGGGGGCAAAATAGTTATTTTACTTTGTAGTTAACCGGGATTTTTAACACAGAGACGAGCTTTGCAACAAAACTAAGTTTTAGTACTAGCGGTGCAACATCCAGCAATATCCATAAGTAACCTTTAACAAAGCACAGCCACAGGGACGAACCTTGTAATTTAGATTTTGCCCAAGCCCAAATTCAACTTGAGATTCTCATCGGTAGTTGCAATTGCAGCCTAGCAGAGCACAACAAAAACATTGATTTCTTTTTCAAAAATCAAATCTTATGAATGTGTGTACTTAATCAAAAACGATAAGAAATTTACTTAATCTACCCCTCCCTCATTCATTGGTCATAACCACATAACCAGTAACTCAAATGGGATTGGTTCATCATTCAGGTTAACTATGCATGCATTATTATGAGGAGGCTCGTCAATCAAATATCATAATGATATGAAGAAATATCTTAAATTAGTTTACATTCTCTACTCACTTATTTTATCCCTCCAAACACCCAATCCTCCTTCATCTTTTTTTTTTTTTTTTTTTTTTTAATAAAACCTAAAGTTCCAAGGAAACTCATTTCACTTATTTCATAACCCAAACGAAGTTTGCCCTAAGTATGATTCTAAGCTTAGATCTTGCTACCATTATTCATAATACAGATACAAATTACCTGCTCTACTTACAAACACAATTCCTATCATTTACCAACCAATTTTCTTAACTTGTGTTTTTAAGTATCCACAAATATCAGAATCTAAAAAAAAAAAACCATATACATACATATATGTAAAATATGTAGTGAATCAATGTGATAACAAAAGTTAGCTACAACCAAACAAAAAGAGAAGAGCAGAAATGTAGTGACATCATTAGGCAGGAGCAGAAGAAGGAGTGCTGCTGCTACCCAAACCCATTTTTTGTCCCAAGGCAGCAAGCTGATCAACAAAGTCAGCACCAGTGAGAATCTCAGTTGTCCCGTATATTATATGTTTAGCAGAAGAAGATCTGCGTGCAAGCTCCTGCAAGCTTCCATATTCAACATAATTCCCACCACCAATCATGAACACAATCGCTTCTTTAAAAGGGCCTTTCATCTGACCAGAAGTCGATTTGGGTGCACGTGGGTCCAACACCAGGTAAGACTCGATCTCAGGATTATTCGGTTTTCCTTCCATCAAAGCTTCAACCGTTGTCGCCATTGCCAACTGATGATCACCCGATAATAAATTCTTAACACCTGCTGTCACAGCACTGATGGACTGACCATAAAGCTTCTCAGCCCAATCCACAATGTTGCTTCTGCTAGCAGCATTTGCAGAAGATGCTAACGAAACGTTTAACGATTTTATCTTTTTAACGTATTGAAACGCACACGTGTCCACCTCCGCTTCTCTCAACGCGGATTCAATCATTTCCACTTCTATCTGAGGGATGGTTTCCGTTGAAATAAGGAACATGATAGCAAACCGAAGCTTATCCGGTTTACTACCTTTCCCTTTAAGAACAGATAAAAGTTCTGCCCGGTCGATTCCCCCCCTCACCATCATTTCGTATTCCTTTTTCGCGTACGAATCCAGAGACCTCTCTTTGATCTCCCCGAGCAAAACCGTTGCGATGTTTGTGTGTTTATCGATCGTCTGTTTCCGTTCGGTCAGTTCGGGCAGCGAGTTCACCGCGTTCATCAAATGCTTCGTGTTCCCGATCAGATCGGTCCCGTCGAATTCCGCTCCATCGTTTCCACCACCCGTTCGCCGGTTCACTTCTTCCACGTCTTTCTTGTATTTATTCAACTGTGTCTCGATTTCAACCGCTACCTCCGGGAATTCCAGATTCCCGTTGGCCACCCAAAACGGGTCGACCCGGTCCAATTCGTATGATTTCATCCCACCACCAGCACCAGCACCAGCACCGCCTTGTACGGTTAACCGGTTAAGCCTCAACCCGAGCACATCGTGAACGAGAGGTCGGTAACGAAAGTCATGTTGGATGGCAACCGATAACTCGAGGTTCCGGTCAAACAAACATAAAACGGGTCTCTGTGTGAAGTTACCGCTTTCGGAAAATAAATTGTTTTTAACAAGCAGATGATCACGTAACCGCTGGTCCAGCAATGATGCAACCATCTCAGCGGGACCCCCACGCGGGCAACGAATGATCGGGACAACACCAAGTGTAGCCAGGACACAGAACAACCCGCTCACCAGCTTTTCGATTATTTCTTCAATCTCACGATCCGTGGCTTTCGGATCATTTAACCGGACATAACAAGATTTATCAGCTAAAGTGAAGAGATTGTCATCCAGGGTTACAAACTCCAGATACTGGTCATGAACCTTGGAGATTCGTTGGATGGAATCCGAATTCAGGGTTCCGGAAGCAAGATCTTCAAGAAGGGGGCGGGGGATTGATGAAGAGAAATTTAGGTGGAAGTAATCGTAGACCGAATTAGAGGCATCCGAGATGATTCTTTCAATGTTTTGTTGGGAAGGTCTTACAAAGTAAACAGCAGGAACATCAGAGACAGGTTTGCGGTTTTTATCGATAAGGAAGTAGAGGGTCACACCATGCTTGCGGAGATCCTTCACATGAATCAGAGGGGACAGAATGTCTTGACAGAACTTGTCATAAATCAGTATCTTGTAAACTTCCTCGTTTGCTGTTCCACTTGCGTTTATAGGCTGATTCAGATTTAGCATCCGTGCTATGCACTCTGAAAGTACATACAAAATTATATCATGCTTTGCTTTCTTTGCAAGGAAAAAACAAATAACTACATTTATTTTTAGGCTCAGACTTCAATATTCAGGTTATGCAATCCGAAAAGCATCCAAGTTACGATCCCAGTGTCCCCATATACTTCAATATACGGATCGAAACTCAATAATTATAGAAAAACCTACAATAACGTCCTAATCAAAAACATGAAATCGGATGAGATGGTGCTAAAGCTTCAAATTAAGGAACAAAAAATTGTAAAACCCTTCAATTTCTTATGAGAACCTGTATCGATTACACTTCATATGCTTTGCTATTAGGACCCATGAAATGCGATGTAATACCTAAATACACATTAGTTTTCAGTTTCGGATTTAAAATGGAGGGTATTTCGATAATTAGATCATAAACCCACAGCATACATATATATATATATATATATATATATATATATATATATATATATATATTTATTCAAGATCCAGATTATGTATATATATATTAATCGCGCTAGACATTCAGACTTAATTTCATATGCGATCGGAGCTTAAGATACATGAAAACTGAATCTGGCAATAGACATAGGGGGGAGGAAAATCAATAACCTGTCTGTCTTTGACGAAGATTGAGCGCCATTGATGGATCTAGAGCGAGAGCGAGCGATCTATTAGATCGAGAGAGAAGGTAGTCGGTTTTGTGGTTCCGGTGTGTCTGTTACGGTAAAGGCTCTAGAGAAGCTTTAGAACGATCAAAGACTACGATTTTGATAAATAAATTACACAAAAACACGCAAAACCCTTTTTTTCAATATTAATTTCTTTTTTAATATGATAGTGTTTTCTTTTTTTACTAAATGTATAGTCTGAATCTGAATCAATGGGAACTTTACTTTTATATTTTAAAAAATATATATATATATATATATATATATATATATATATATATATATATATATATATATATATATATATATATGATCATTTATTTAATAACTTCTATAACATAATTTTGTATGTTACATCACAATATAATAAATTACAGTTTAAAGAAATTAAAAACAAATAATATGATTAGTAACATAATTTTACCTAAATTTAACATATTTCTTCTTTTTAAATCCAAACGAACAATTTTGAATTGATATTTACATTTTGAATTCAAAAACATAAAAGTCGGCTATGTAAGTTATAAATTTCTTATTTGTCTGGTTTTAATAATCAATTAACATAATTAACATAAGATTATGTTTCATAAACTAGCTGAAAATCTAGTTGTTAGTTTATAAGCTAGCATATCAATAACTTAGTTTATCAATAAGTCAACTTATAAAAACTACTATAATAAGTTATTTTTATGGTTTTATCAAATATTAAATTACAATAAACTAGCTTATTTTTGTCAAATATGTCCTAACAATAGACTTTCAATATCTTTCAAGATCATAGATGTTATAATGATTATTTCTATTGTTTTTTATAATATGTAAAATACATGTATATATAATGCAAACTTCCCAACACATAAAATTACCAACTATAGCAGTTTATGATATTATTATTTTGGTCAATTGGAATATTCATGTTTAAAAAATAAGAGATAAAGATTCCTACTTTTGAGGGAATCGTGAATTCATTTGCAAAGACAATGGTAGGAAAAAGAAATATGGCAAAAACACTGAATGACACACATATTTCTTAATTTAACCCACTATGATATATTTTCTTGAAAAAAAAAATAGTAATAACTAATGACATAGGCAAGCCAGCCAGTTAGTTAAAGCTACTATGTTTCTTATATAGGTTATTGCAAATTCCTTATGGAGGGACAGTGGTTTATAAGGTCTTTAGGAGAGGTTGGATTGATTTAAGTAGTAACACAACTTTTTTGTCCGACTATTGTTTTTTTTTTTTTTTTTTTTTTTTTTACTTCCATACATTTCAAATCAGTTCTTTGTTATTGTTGGAAATATGGATTGTAATGTATTCTTGGTGCTTTTTTGTTTTCAAATCGTCTAACCTATTCACTTTGTGATTTAAGTCATGTATGCGTTTTATGTGTACGACGCAACAAAGAATTGCATATTCTTTATGTGGATTGATCCTGCATTAGAAACTGATAATGACAGAAATGCTCTTTATTATTAAAGGTGTTGAAGGAGAACAAATTGAAAGAGAAGAACAAATTGAAAGAGAAGAACGAATTGAAGGATAAGGAGATAAAGAAATTGGTGAAAAAGAAGTCATGCTCTTAGGTTTATTTTAATAATGGTGGTCACGTTTGTAATGTTCGTCGTGTTTTGTCTTGATTGAAAGTTGCAACTAGTAATTGTTTGTAATGAGTAAAGTAGATTGTCTTAAGTATAAATTGTAATGTGCATTGTTTGTAATGTACAAGAATGGTGTTTTGCTTTTAACATGATGTGCTAAATAGCAATATACTTTAGTTTTTTGTTTTTCAGACCTCAAAAGTAAATAGAATAATAGCATTGTACTTCGTTCTTTCAGTTTATTTTTTCTTTTTGAGATCTGCACTATATAGCATTGTACTTTATTATTATTATTTTTTTATTCATTTTTGTTGCAGATCGGAAGTCATTTTTAGCCCACAAAAGTGAGTGGGTGAGTGAGTGAATATGCTAAACATCACAATTGACAAGAATACATACAAACATATTACATACACATTCAAATGAAAATAACACTCTTATCAAAACTAAACAACTTACAATCGGAATAACAAAACAAACATCATAAAGTTACTTATTCTAAAAAACAAAATTTAAGAATTTTCATTTATCATAAACTTGTTTATTTCTCTATAGAACTAAATAATGTGAGTGAAAAGTGGGATCAAAGAGCAGCCAGCCTATCAAGATTTAAAAACAAACATAACCTATCATAATCAATCCTTATCAGCTCATTTAATAGCCTAGAAACAAGTGACATTGCATCTTCCTACCCTCGACTTATAAGAAAACTAACTTATCCTGATTCCTGACCTTGCATCATGAGTTCATCTTCGCCCTTCAAATTTATATTCCCTTGTCTTCTGTTTTTCAAAATACCTTTCGATTCCTTCACCAAATTAATGTACTTTGCTCTTACTTGGGCAAGAGGATGGGCCTCTATGGTTGTTTCATCATAATACACTTCCTTTAATATTGCAGTGCATGTTTTGTTCCTTAAAGATAGATAAAACACATGAGGACTCAAACGCCTTATGAACCTTTTATGGCAATCCCAAATAATTTCTCAAGGACAAAAGCTTCTTCCTTTCTGCAGAATGTTCAACAAACAGACTAAGCAACTCATGGAGCACACCCACAACACGTTCTCAACCACATCACTATTTGGGTACAAATCCGGAGGGCATTCCTCATATGGTGAAACGTATGGAAGTTTCTGAAAATGGTCCAACCAATCCAAAATCTTTGTCTTCAACCTCAAACCTTTAGATGGAAACAATAGAATTGAAATAGCCTCTCCATTCCTCAATGCATTCCTTTCAAGTACAGACAATATCTTTTCGTCTTTTTCGGTTTTCACAACAGATAACCCTTTCAACCCATCGCCCATTTCAACTACCTTAAAACACCCATCAAGATTATTTTCTTCCAGTGTACGTAGGTAACTATCTAGTAACCCCAAGTACCATAGCATACGTTGAATTATCTTCAATGGCAACCTATTTTCCACACTCATACGTATAAATTTCTTCAACCTTTCTTGTAAATCGGCCTTATTATCCCTATAAATAGCTTGTTCTTCATCATTAAGCATAACATGCTCTAGGGTTAACCTAAACCATGGCAAATTGTATTTGGGTCCGATGAACTCTTCGAAAACAGAAGGGTACAGTCTAAGAAACCTAGCAACCTTAATGTGTACATCTAATTGTAAGCCTTTCTTTGAAACATCGGAGATGGGGATGCAGCCTTCCGGAGAGGCAGTGACGCAGTTCTTAAGAGCAAGTATTGGTTTGAGTTCGATGGATTTGTGGATTGTATCAATTGAGTCCAAGTATGAATCTTTTTTCCATTTCATGTATGCATTGGTGTAGTTGTGCTTTTGGATGTGTAGAGAATTTACTGTGTATTGGTTTATGAGTGAAAAGAAGGGAACCTTTGAAGAGAAACATATGAGTTTTTGGAGATTTCTACCACAAATTTGATCAAAAACCATTTCCGATAATCATAGTAGCTCTAGCTTGAACTAAGCATCCACGTGGCCCCCTTTTAATCCTCCTTCATTCCACGTGTCATTTCCACAGCTATCTTACCAGTGGTTTCCCGCTTATTGTTTCTTTGACAATTCCACACAATCTCCTACTAATAAGGAATTCGGTTACCATATTATTATCCTTGCATTAAACTTCATCATATTGCATAAAATCAACAATGGATTTTCAATTACTTTATCTTATTCCAAAATATATATGCATCATAATAGGAATTAAATTGATTACCATATTAACTTCAAATGATTCGAATGATTTATTTCACTTATAAATATAAAAGACTCCTATAAAATTTTCCAAGATTTATCGTCTTTCTCATTTGCTTCGTATCTAAACCCTAAAAGACTCTGCAATTCTGGTAAAGCATCCCCCAAACAGCTATGTCTATTTTTTTTGTTTATCATGTATTCTTATTTTGATTATATCTATATTCTTCTTCTTCTGATCCTTTATGTATGTGTTATCTTATAGGCATCCACTTTAATAGATTAAGTTTAACTATACGAACAAACATTTATTGTTCTAATTATACAATATTTTTATATCATTCTCTATAAACTTTGTTATTATACAATATGTTACATGTTATTGATTCCGTTCACGATTTAAATTGAAGAATTCATGTCTCTTATGGTGAATATCTTGACTGTAGTTGTACTTTTAAGTTAAGACCATTCATAAGAGTTATACCAAATAACTTAATATGACAATAGGACATCCTACTTTTCCTGATGCTTATACCAGTATCATGTATCACAACCAAATAGATATTTTCTACTATTTAATCTGCATCATTTTTTCCAAATAACTATCATTTTTTTTATATAGAATGACAATTATACTCTTTTACATTATCTTAAACCAAATAACTGTCATAACTTCTTAGAAAAAAATGGCCATTATTTCTTTTTAATATAAAAGGACATATCTGCCCTTTTATATTTTCTTATAACAAAACAATATAAATATTTCATTGTTTGATTCATTTTTCTCTGCTATTCCATAAAACAAAATTCCATTATAAATAAAACTAAAAACTGACGTTGGTTCTCTTATTTGTAATGCTTTGATTCTTTTATTTTTCTGTATTTAAAAATAAATAATGGCATTATAAAACATTCTTTATGGATGGTGTTTGTTTTATGCTATTTAATGTACATTCTTTGCTCCCATTACCCCTACATGTTTACGTGTGTTCCTTTAAAAAATATGCAATTTTTTTATAATAGAAATGGATAATTATGCCCTTTTATATTATCTTATACCAAATAAGATAATTCATAATATGGCAACCTACTTTTGCATATGTTTATGACAATGTTTTATTAGAAATGAATAATGGCAGATTAAGCCCTTTTTAATATTATTTTATATAATTCAAAACCAACGTTATTAATCTTATTAGTAATTCTTTGATTCTTTTATTTTTCTTTATTTATTTAAAAAGAAATAATGGCATTATAAATCATTCATTATGGATGATATGTGTTATGTTATGGACAAATTATGTCGGCTATATTTTGTTTAACTACGTTTTTTACTGTCTAATATAACTTCATCATATTTGTACATAACAATGCTTAAAAACTATTTACATAACATCAAATTTATATAACTTCATATATTTGTAGGAAAAATGTCTACACCAAATGTCACATTGATAGCTGATGTAGATGTGCTCAAAGATGATTTGACTCTCAAAGTTTGTGTGATAAACGAATCCAGAATTGCAGTTTTTTCAGCTTTGAAAATTACACAATTGCATCAATATAATAGAAAACACCCATGGCTCTGATACCACTGTTGGGTTTTATGTACTCTAACATCCCTATGGTGCACATACAACCCTAATGCTTTGGATCTAAGTTTTCTCTAAATATACATGCAATATTCATTTTCCAAAGCATGAAGACTAACTAGCATGCAAAGGTGATATTTGAATCATAAAACTAGTTAGAATATTACCTTTTGATGTAGCTTGTATAACTTGACCTTAAAAGAGCTTAGCACCCCAAGTGTGATGCCTCAAACAAGTCACAAACACCAATAAACAATTAGAGGACAATGAGAGAGGTTTAGGAGACACAAAATCGGCTAGCCCCTCTTGGAATGCATGTGGTAACCGATTTTAGAGCTTAGGATACACATTTATAGTGTAGAATTCCAAGAGTCATTTGTAACCCTAATTCTTACACTTAAGTTTATGATCCAACAATTAATTTGGACTAACACTTCATGGACTAACTTATAAGCTTAGTCCATCACAAATCAATCATGGATCATTAGCCCAAACCATATGTATCACTGATTTACATAATCAGTCTTCGTTAATTTAACTAGTCTCTTTTGATCATTAAATTAATTCCAAATTAATTCTTGATAAATACTAATTAAATAATATGATTTCTCAATTAATATATTATTCTTATAATATATTAATAAATCACAAATAACCTCTTTCTCAGATATCCAACCTATCAAATTGTTCTGGTGAAGGCAACCCGAAATGGACCATGCTACTATCGGGTAAAGTACATACCAATTATAGTTATGGGATTAGACACCTAATCCAACACAACATACCCAGGGCAATCTAGTCTTTGTGGTTGTGGGCCCGGGGATAATCTAGTCTTTGTAACTGTGGGCGTGGTGTGCATGCATTGTATGTATATTGTTGTGTGTGATATTTTGGGGGAACTTACTAAAATTTGGCTTACAGTTGTGGATTAAATGTTTTTCAGCCACCAGTAATGATCGTGGGAAGGCGAAGGCGTGACTATACACTTTCGTCAGCAGCAATGGAGATTCCGTGTTTATTATATTACCCCGATTTTTAAACAAATATATTTTTGAACTAACATGTTTCTTAACTTGGATTATATAAATGTGATTACCTTAATTAAAAATGAAATTTTTTGTTGCAAAAGTAGGACGTTACATTGAGAACGTGACGAGAACTTCCTAACACTGAGCACTTTGATGGAACCTTACTTTCATTCTCTTATGCCATAGCGTACCTGAACCAAAATATAGCATTCTTCCGCTACAAATTTCCTCTGATTCACTATTCTGAGACCACAAATTAAACCATATGATAACCCTTCAATTAAGTACTTAGTCCTTCCCCGCTTAGGGTTCAAACTATCATCGAATGACATATTCGGACCCAAAGCCTCAGACCAGCTAAGCCAGGTACATGCCAACCATGAATCTTGGTATGCATATGGGATATGACGATCCTTCAAATAATGACCAAACAATCATAAAGAAACCCTGATCTTGGGATGGAGACATCGGAAACTTTCTCAACATCATCGTCTCAATGTTAGCGAAGTGGGTCATAATACCATTAGATCGACGAGGCACCTTACAAACGGAACTTCGTGCAACCAAAACTTGCATTTGAAGAAACTAATACAGAGAACACACTCCCTTTCTTATATCTATCGACTGACATACATCTGATCCATTCCTCTCTCAAATGCGGTAGGCTGGAAGAACATAGCCCCTCGTAGAGAACAAAGTTCTAATCCATCAGCCAACCACCCTTCCTCAGGCTGCAACCCTCAGGCCAATCATCACATTCGCCTCCTATAAGAGTCATGTGACTCAAAAGAGCACTACTTTGAACAAGGTCTTCGACACCTTAAGATCAACTAACTTGTACAGATCTGTACCCTTCAAATCTAAACTTCCATGGCCACTAAGGCCCAAACAAATACCAGACTCATCTTTATCCTAGACAACCATAACCGAAAGACCGATAAATACGGAAATAATGCAACAAGATACCAATTGAATACATGGGTAAGTCACTGGTGACTATAAGGACATTCTAAGAGTACTTAAGAGAACTAAGAGAATTTATATGAGATAATCAATTTAGAAAGGATCTTTATGTAAAGATCTACATAAGATGTTGACTTCTAAACAAATATAGATAATTATGAATTATAATTAGATTTTGACTTCATTATGGAATGAAGAGTAAGTTTAGTTGGAATGAGGTCCAAGCAAAACATAATGACACAGTCTAATACAAAATAAGAATACACTATTTTAGAAGTTAAAATCAAATATGATTGGATGAACGAGTTCATTGAAAAATTATGTTGATTTTTGCCATTCAAGGATCACATAGAAATCTTTGTGACTTCGAGAGTATACTTAATCAAGCTAAGAGACTCTATGTCACGAAAGATCAGACATCTATACCAGTTCACATATCAGTCATAAAAGGCATCTCTCAGAAGCAAGCATTCTAGCATGCTTCCCTGAGCAGATCCTTATTCTAACTATTATCATGCATATTATACTATAACACATATAACATATCCACATGTATGGGTATTTTGGGAATCACTTACTTGAGCTCGGATGATTGTATGCATCACATCTATTTCCTTTTGTAAAAAAAATTTAGAAAAACGTTTTTGTAAAAAGAAATCCTTCAGTCCTTAGTTTGATTTCAGACACACTATATAATGTGCCCGTATCCCTCAAACTAAGACTCTGATACCAACTTGTAATGTCCTAACTTTCAAACCAAAATTTTCATTTTAAATATAAAGGCTTGTGTATCAATTACAATTTGCAAGATCTATTAAAACCATTTGATTCCAAATATTTATCAGAGTATAAAAAAAGAGTTATTAAGTGCGGAAATTCTCCAATGGATGCAATACAATCAAGCCGTGCTGCCCTTCCCTCAATATAAGAAAACCTGAAACAATTTAAACATAAAACCATACGCACAAAGCTTAGTTAGTTCCCCAAGATACCACATACCATACATATCAGTGGGCCCAAACCTAGGGGTGTATTTCAACCCTATGTGAATGCTATGATCCAACCATAGTCTTACAATTACATCTATACTACAGCCAAGTCGTAGCCTTTATGTCATGATCCAACCATGGTCTTTCATGCAAGTCACAAAGAAAAACACGTGTTATGATCCAACCGCAATATCTCATACAAGTGTTGTGATCCAACCACGATCTTTCATGTAGGTGTTTATGATCTAACCACAGTCTTTCATGCAAGAGTCACAAAGACATCCTAACAACCTACATAGTATAGTGAGGAGACTCACCTGAACTACTCGACAAAAGCTCAATAGCCACCTCAACAACATAACAACCAACCCAAGCTTCCTAAATCCAAACTAAGACTAGTCCTTATTCAAATACTCAGTTCTATCCAAGTTTGACCAAAAGTCAAACTAGTTAAAAAGTCAATTCAGATGATCCTCACATCGTGGCAATTCCTTTGCCACATCATGGTCACGTCCAGACAAAATAGACAAGATGCAACGCGCCACCACGTCATGAGCCTTCCTTGGCCACGTCGTGGTTTCGATCATAAAGACTTTTCTTTATTAAGAGCTTAATCCATTAGGTCCAAAACTCAAATCGTCAGATCTGGTTCCTAATAGCTTCATAATGGATAAATTTTTTAACTTTATCCATTAGGATGATCCAAACAACTAAGATCTAGTCTTTTAAGTCTCAAAAGGACCAAAAATACATATTTATCAAATTAATCCATTAATTCCAAGTCGTTTAATACACCAAAATGACCGATCACAATTTCAAACGTTCAAGATGTAAACTTTAATCCACCAAAACATTGAAGACCATAGTTCTCCGTCCTTCTGTAACCTCTCTGTTCCCTTCTTGCGATCAAACAAAGCCATGAATTTAACATAGCTAAGCATTTCAATCACCCTCTCATCTATCTTCTGTAAATACGCTCGTTCTCGCTGATCTCTGTCCTTCTATCTCTTCAGTTTTTCTGATTGTTCTTCTTCGATTCCGACCAAAGCCTGTCGGCATCGATTCCCTCTTCCATAGTCGACGCCGGCAACTTGCTCCTCCACATTCGACGCCGACGATTCCCTCTTACCCTGCAGATGTCGTCGGTTCCCTCTTGAAGACGATGATTTGTTAGGGGTTCATCGACTGGAGATTTCGAGTCACTCCGAATTTGAATCAATCAGTTTCTACTTTCTTCATATTCCCTCACACCTCTATTATTTATTTTAATTAGTCACATACACTGTATGCTTTCTACCTGATTGTCGTATATATTTTTGATTTAATCTATATGTATGTACTTTAATTTGTAGGTTTGTGTGTGGGATGTCATCTGCATGCAGTCACCGCTTTGCCTCATCGCCATTTCAGGTGTCCCTAGGTCTAAGACGATGTTTCTTTTAATGAAGATGTTGAAAATTCCTAATCTAATCTACTTATTTTCATGTGCAGGTTGTGTGTTATGATATTTATTTTTATTGATTTTTGTTTGGTTGTTCAATCTCATATTGTGAAGACCCGTAATCTAATGTACAGCAAATGCTTGGAATTCATAATTAAGTTATTGTTTACATAACCATTACTAAGAATAAGGAAGAAGTTATTAACACTTTTGGTACTATTTATTTCTTGGTTAGCTGTTATCATGCCCAGATGCAGACTACTATGTGTGAATGGTTTTATTAACACGGTTTATATTGACTTTCATCCTGTGCCTTTTAATATTCTCTTAAAGCCTAATGGAAAATTGGTTTTCGTTAGTGGTATAGTACAACCAACTTGTATGGGTTACCTGCTTTTCACTTGCTTTTTGGTAATCAAATAAGAAATAATGAGGTTTAATGGTGTGGCAGGTGGAAGGATAAAGGAGACGCAAGAGATTATTGATTTTGCAGAGGAACATAGTATAACAACAACAGTTGAGGTCATTGCTATGCAAAACTACACCATCACTACAATAGAGCATGTTGACAAAGCCAATGTTTGTTATTGACACTGGTAATACATCAAACTTACATAATTTCATATCTTTTGACTTCAAGTTTTGCTTAGTCTAAATTTATATTGTTGCATTTTCCAATGTGGGTTGGCTTTCTGTGATGGGAGATGGAGTTGGGATTGGTTTTCTGGTTGTGTGTGTGTATTGTGATGGACATGTAACTGATTAATCTCATTAGGGTAATCAATGACTAAGTCAATTGAACAATTTTCGTTATTTTACCTTTCATTTATGAGAATTTAGTGCATCGCTCTTTATTTGTTTTTTTTTTTTTTTTTTTTTTTTTTTTTAAAGTTTAGCTATTATGATAAAATTCCAATGCTATCAAGTGTTTGATATGTTTTAGGTTGTTGTTGGTGCTTTATACGATGAAGGCGATGTGATGGTTGTTCATGAAGTTGTTATCGATTGTAAAGTGTAAACTGATACTTGAGAAGCCCCCAACCAAATATGGTTAGTATTTAAAGTTATGCTGGAAATAGCAACGCACTTTAATAAAACTTTAACTTAATTTGACTTTTTGGAGCCACTTGTATTAGATTTGGTATTCAATCAAAAACTAAAGTTTGTTTCTATTTCTGCATTGCATTATATTTTGTACATCAAACTATTCGGTGAAATGATTCTTATTTTCTTGATATAAAAGTAAGGTGGAAATGAATTTAGACACATAATTTCTTATTAAAATTGTGACCCAGATTTAACATCATAAAATAAATCGCATTGTAGATTTTGAAAATATCTTAAATAGCATTGTCACATTTTTTTTGATTGTTTCTTGAAAAGTCTTGGTATTTTTGAGATTTTAACATCGTAAATAACATTGTACTTTCTTAAGAGTGTGTTAAATAGCATTATATTTTTGGAAATTCATATTTTCCAACTAATGGAATTTTTTGAAATTTAATCTCATAAATAGCATTATACTTTCAAAAAAAATGTTTTAAACAACATTGTAGTTTGTGGGAAATCACATTCTTATATATTTTTTTTTTACTATTTTGTGTGCTATTTTCTAGAATTTAACATCACAAGTAGTATTGTATCTTTTTAAAAAAATCTCTTAACTAGCATTGTAGTTTCTGGAAATTCACATATTTCGAATTTTTTACTGTTTCTGGAAAATTTAATTTTGTTTTTTTATCAGTCAAGTAATTTATGAAATTTAACATAGTTTTTGTTTTTTTCGTGTTTAAGAGATGTTCAAGATGATGAGATCTGATCTAATCATGATATGCAATTTTCTGTTGAATTTGAAGTTATCTAAACTTGAAGCTGAAAGATTTGAAGCTATACGCTACTGTTCACGCTTATCAGAAGCTGTTGTCCTAGGTGATGAGTTCTGATCCGCCCAAGTTGATCGCATTTGAAGCTGTTTGTTAACCATGTACTCTTTTCTGTTTTTTTTCCAATTTTAAAATAACTTACAAAAGTTTTCCTTTTTGTAATGGTTTTGGTCATGTTCCAAGTAAAATGGTTACATTACCCTTTTCTAGATTTTTTTTTTTTTGCTTTTAAATCAAAGGGTAATATTGTCAATTGCTTAAAACATGAACAAAAACATTACAAATATCTCAAATAATTACCCATTTCTGTTTTATTAAAAATAAACCATCACAAATATCTCAAATAATGACCAAAATTGAAAAAAAAAAATACTCTTAATTTAAGCACAACTATATAATGATCAATGTGACATTTTCTATCTTAAACTATTCTTACTTGCTGTTATTACTATTTTGCTTTTAGGCATATTAAAGTTTTTTATTTTGGGGATTCAAATTGCGTTTTTTTTATTTCTAATAATTGAAAAATATGTGATTTTTTGGTGGCAGGTCTTCAAAAGAGTTCTCAGAGCCTATGCTACAGAGCTTTGCATGAAGCTGCATTGCATATTAATAGAAATAACAACCACATATAATTAACACAACACAAACCTCTCCATGCCATAATCTGCACTAAAACCCACTTCTTTGGGCATCGAATCACTCATGTATGGTCCTTTGATAACCTTCATGTCAAACATTCCTTTTCCGCTTTTCGGGCGGAAGCAAAAAAGTAGGTTGCTATTAAACAAATTAAGAAAATTTAGTTGCTATCCTAAACTCAAGATTCAGCTATTTTAACAATTTCATTCCAGATTTCCATAAATTGAAATGAAATCCCCTCCGCCAATGCGAAGCATGGGATACTTCCCTAGTTAGGATTTTTTTTAAATCACATCACCATAGGGGACATTTTTGTAATTTACTCTTTTTTAAAATAAATTAACGTTAAATTTTTTACTGGAATTTCGCATGACCAATATGCGGAATGACATTGGGCTTTAAAATGGGTCTTTATATGAAACATTTATTTTCACTTTCCTATCATATGTGTTTGTAGAAACTATTTTAATCCATGACTTCAATTTAGCAATATAGAGCTCGTTTTTGCTGCAAAATAGTTTTTGAAGATTCATATTACAAAAAATATAAAAAAAATAAATAAATAAAAAATAAATGTCTTTTTGAAAAAAATCTTATTTTTGTAAAAATATTAACAATTTCGTAATATAAATTGCATAGTAAACAGTAATTTTGGAAGTCAAACCTAATATTTTATTTTATTATTTTTTATGCATTTCCAAAGACTAAACATGCAAAATACATCTTTTATATTTTTAATCTTTTTTCTTTCAACATACGAGTTTGTTTTAGAAATATTTAAGTTTTATTTTTGATGTGAAAATGATTTTTGAAGAGTTTTAGTATAAAAAAAAGTTTAAAAGACAAATAAAAATTATGATTTTCATAAATTTATGAACAAATTCGCAGCGAACATTAATTTTGTACGTCAAACAGATGACACTATTGATGCGAAATCGGAATACGGTCATCGCGTCTTGGTTTTGGATCTGGATCGTGGATCGGAGATGATCGCCGTTAATATGTTCTCGATAGGTTCTTAGCTGCAACATGTAACAAGACCGTTAGAACCACCCCAATCACTATGCATCGGGAGCAGGCTCCGTCGATCAACTCAGATTGGTATGAGTGATGAGATGGTCTCTAATGGTCGGAGAAAGCCATATATGTGTATTGGGAGTGTCTATGAGAATAGAGGTTGATCTCCCAAGGTAGGAGAAGTCTGAGTATAGCTGAGGCTGAAGCTTGTGGATCTGAGAGCTTACCCCTCATAGAGGAGGAAACATTCTATTTATAGGGGACAACTAGGCCAAGAGGAATTAGCTCATGCCTTGGGCTGACTCAATTCATGCCCAGCGAGCTGGCGGCAACGCAGCGGTGCAGTGGTGCCAAACAGTCTATACTGCAACCAGGCAAGGCTGGCCAGTACTGCTGCCAGGCAACCAAGCCGTCATGCTATTGGGTCATGCCAATGGACCCAATACCAACAAAATATATATATATATATATATATATATATATATATATATATATATATATATATATATATTCTCAACCTAAGATTTCACTTTAACAACATAAAAGCCTATTTTATTGTAAAAATAGTTTGTTGACGAAAAATCATGAAACAAAGACAATATAATAAGATTACATTAAGATAATAGTAGGGATGAGCATCAGAACCGGGTACCCGCTTTTGGAACCGGAATCGTCTCGGAACTGTCGGTTTTGGAACTGGGACCGCCTTAAGCAGTTCCGGTTCCGGTTCCTAAAGTTATGGAATTGCCTTAAGCGGTTCCGGTTCCGGTTCTCTTTTTTTCGGAACCGCTACCCGTCGGGTACCCGCAAGAACTGGTTTATATATATATATATATATATATATATATATATATATATATATATATATATAATTTCATATAAATATGTGTGTTACTTAGACTGGTTTAGAATATATTGGTCCAATTTTATCCGTCTTTGGTCCGAATTGATTTAATTTGGATCGAACTAAACTGTGGTTTTATCGACAAAAGCTAACAAAATTAATTTAACCAGGTTACCCGCTCCCGGAACTGGAACCGACGGTTCGGGGACTAGTTCCAAACATTTAAGAACTGCCTAGAGCGGTTCCGGTTCCGGTTCTAACTTTCTAGGAACCGCCGGTTCCGGTTCTGGTTCCGTTTCTCGCCAAATGAGGAGGGTACCCGCCTATGCTCATCCCTAGATAATAGTATCACTCAGAAAAACATAATGCATTATGATTGTAATAAGATAATACTCATTGTCATATGTTGATTCAAGGTATTATCTTAATGTAATCTTACTATATTCTCTCTGTCTAACATATGATATTGCCTAACTATATTCACCAACATTGTCTTTTACACAGGGTATTATTTTAATGTAATCTTACAATATTTTCTACGTCTAACATATGATATTTTTTTAAACGGGTTAATGATTGTATTAAAAAGACAGCAAAGAGCTAACAAAGAATTACACAGGAATAGACAAAATTAGATTTAACATCCATGCTAAATGACTAATATTAATTCGTCTATTCATATTAACAAACCAAATATAGGAATAGTCGATCAATCTATCAACCAACGAATTCCTTGTGACATTCTGATCACTAAAAAGTATTGCATTGAGAAAATTCCAAAGAATCCACCACATGATCAATCTAACTGTTAACGTATCCCACTAGAAATACGCCAAACATAACAGAGCCGTCATCTCTTAGACGACTTGTCAAAGGTCGACACATACCTAGCGCCGACGACAGATCTTCACCCTCGGCGCCTCGTGTTTATTCATTGGCGCCCAAGCGCCAAAGCCAACTCCAAGACAAAACAGTACCAATCGCCTCCCAGAGCGACAGGTGTAATGCTTAGGGCGCTGGCCTCTGAGAATTCTGCATCAATAACAGTTAACCACTAGTGGAGCACATTTCGCCAATAGGACGCCTCCGCGTCCTGTCGGTTCAGAAGAGACAAAAAGGTATTGTCGGGATCTTATCCCCATCACGGAAGGTATAAATAGAGCCCTTCTCCTCCAAGAGAAGGGATCGTCTCTCTCACACTTTTCAGCTAAACCCATATCCTCTTAACTAGTTACTAACTAAACCGTCGGAGCTTCGTTCCGGGATCCCCTCTCGGACGTTGACTAACGACCTTTTTCTGAGTACTGTGACTCTTAGGCTTAACTCAACCAAGGTCACTGGAGGTGGCGTTAAGTCTGGGGAACATATCACAACATCTGGCGCCATCCGGACGTGTACTCAGAGCTACACAACCTGTAAAATGACCTTAGATATTGGGAATGGCAGATAAAAGACCCGCGCCGATGGAGGGTGGAGAAGTCAACCCGATCAGACCAATGATGTCCCTCGACGGCAGTGGTTCATCTGCATCGGGGAGTAAACACCCACAAAAACACCAGACGCGCAGGCAGCCACCTTATCGGCAAAAGCCATAGCCAGTCTATGGCCTCCACCGCCCGTCGCAGCAAAACACCTGGTTACAACACCACAAACGACACCCACTTAAATTTTTTTAAAAAATATCACATCACCATAGGGGACATTTTTTTAATTTACTATTTTTTTAAATAAATTAACGTTAAATTTTTTTACTGGAATTTCGCATGACCAATATGCGGAATGACATTGGGCTTTGAAATGGGTCTTTATATGAAACATTTATTTTCACTTTCCTATCATATATGTTTGTAAAAACTATTTTAATCCAAGACTTCAATTTATTTAGCAATATAGAGCTCGTTTTGGCTGCAAAATAGTTTTTGAAGATTCATATTACAAAAAATAAAAAAATAAAAAAAAATAAAAAATAAATGTCTTTTTGACAAAAATCTTGATTTTTGTAAAAATATTAACAATTTCGTAATATAAATTGCATAGTAAATAGTAATTTTGCAAGTCAAACCTAATATTTTATTTTATTATTTTTTGTGCATTTCCAAAGACTAAACATGCAAAATACATCTTTTATATTTTTAATCTTTTTTCTTTCAACATAAGAGTTTGTTTTAGAAATATTTAAGTTCTATTTTTGATGTGGAAATGATTTTTTAAAGAGTTTTAGTATAAAAAAAGTTCAAAAGACAAATAAAAATTATGATTTTCATAAATTTATGAACAAATTCGCAGCGGACATTAATTTTGTACGTCAAACAGATGACACTATTGATGCGAAATCGGAATACGGTCATCGCGTCTTGGTTTTGGATCTGGATTATGGATCGGAGATGATCGCCGTTAATATGTTCCCGATGAGATTATTAGCTGCAACAGGTAACAAGACCGTTAGAACCACCTCAATGACTGTGCACCGGGAGCAGGCTCTGACGATCAACTCAGATCGGTATGAGTGAGGAGATGGTCTCTAATGGTCGGAGAAAGCCATATATGTGTATTTGGAGTGTCTATGAGCATAGAGGTTGATCTCCCAAGGTAGGAGAAGTATGAGTATAGTTGAGGCTGATGCTTGAGGATCTGAGAGTTTACCCCTCATAGAGGAGGAAACATTCTATTTATAAGGGACAACTAGGTCAAGAGGAATTAACTCATGCCTTGGGCCGACACAATTTAGGCCCAGCGAGCTAGCGGCAACGTAGTGGTGCAGTGGTGCCAAATAGCCTATACTGCAACCAGGCAAGACTGGCCAGTACTGCTGCCAGGCAACCAAGTCGTCATGCTATTGGGTCATGCCAATGGACCCAATACCATATATATATATATATATATATATATATATATATATATATATATATATATATATTCTCAACCTAAGATTTCACTTTAACAACATAAAAGCCTATTTTATTGTAAAATTGGTTTGTTGATGAAAAATCATGAAACAAAGACAACATAATAAGATTACATTAAGATAATAGTATCACTTAGAAAAACATAATGCATTATGATTGTAATAAGATAATACTCATTGTCATATGTTGATTCAAGGTATTATCTTAAGTTAATCTTACTTTATTCTCACTGTCTAACATATGATATTGCCTAACTATATTCGCCAACATTGTCTTTTACATAGGGTATTATTTTAATGTAATCTTACAATATTTTCTCCGTCTAACATATGATATTTTTTTGAACGAGTTAATGATTTTATTAAAAAGAAAGCAAAGAGCTAACAAAGAATTACACAGGAATAGACTAAATTGGATTTAACATCCATGCTAAACGACTAAAACTAATTCGTCTATTCCCATTAACAAAACAAATATAGGAATAGTCAATCAATCTATCAACCAACAAATTCCTTGTGACATTCTTATCACTAAAAAGTATT